AAAAATGTTGACAGCTATCCGGTTTACTTATCCACTGGTAACCTAATCCACCATCTAACATCCACCAATATAACATCTTTATCACTAATCCACTATCCTTATCACAAATCCAATATCCTTATCACTACTTTTTTATCACAAAACCACTATCAATATCATAAATCCAATATCATTATCACTATTTTTTTATCACAAATCCAATGTCCTTATCACCAGATCTCCACATCACCCATACACCGCGTCGGCTGAGATCCACGACCACACCACGAGATCACCGCTGCTTCCGAAATCGACAACACTCGGGGTCCGGTCACGGGGGTCTGGGGGTGTCCCCCAGCGACGCTCGGAGAGCTAGTCTTACTATATAAAACGAAAACCCGTGTGGCGCGACACGCGGTCCTTTTTCGCATCGTACTTAAGGGACGGCCAATGGGGAGCCCTCCCGGCGGCGGCGGAGCCGTCGCTGCGTTATCACTCCTCTTATCGCTTTTCACCGTTTTTCTCGAAATTTCTCGAAATTCACGATTTTTTTTTCAAAACTTTCGACTCATACCCCCCTCGGGGCCTCGGTCGGCCCCGTTTGGACCTTATTCGTTTTCCTCGGTAAATTTACAGTCGGCGCGCGGCCCTACTTTTTTCCCGGGGGGCCCAACGCGGCCGATATCGCGTTTTATTCTACGTGCGAATCGTAAATTCGAGTCTTAGGCGTTTTAGGGCGTATCGACCGCCCCGTTTGGATCTTATTCGCGTTCCCCGCTAAATTTATACCCTACGCGCGGCCCTACTTTTTCAAAAACGAGTCCCCCGGCGGACGAATCGATCGCCGAGGGCGCCGCGTCGTCGCCGTTTCGACGGTTTTCCCGACTTTTTCGACTGGAGTCGCGTTCGGCGCTTTCGCGAGACGTCCGACCTCCCCGTCGGAGCCGTATTCGCGTTCCCCGCTAAATTTATAGTCGCCGCTTGGCCCTACTTTTTCAAAAACGAGTCCCGTGGAGGAGCGGCGTCGCTTAAACGAGAGTAGGTACCGATGGGGTATCGATATATACAGGCATAAATACATGCGTCCCGAGGTTCGATTTTTTTCGCGAATCTCGCGTTTTGAACGTCCGAGGGCCGCGGACACGGTCGTCCGCTCGCCGACGCGGTCGGATCGCCCGATCAAACGCCCTTTGACAGCCGTCCAAACGGTGTTCGCCTTTCGCGGGGACGGCGACGCGGCTTAATAGTCATAGATTTGACTCCAGTTTACAACTCAGTAGGTGGCTCGGTAGGTTAGGCGTTAGGTTAGGATACTCGTAGGTCGTGCGTTCGATTCCGGTCCCCGGGATTATCAATAATTTGCGGCGGCCGTGTTAAAATCGGAATTTTTTTCTCGAGTTTTTTTTTCGTCGTTTCGCCATCACTTCCGTCTTATCATATTTAACGAAAATGTTCCGATTTTTTTTCAAAATTCGAGTTTTACCGCCTCTACGGACTTCGGACCTCCCCGTCGAAGACTTATTCGAGTTCCCCGTCAAATGATTTAGCAGAGCGGACAGTATCTTTATTACTTTACACGGGCGTGAATATTTGCGTCGAAGAGTTCGATGTCTTTTTTTTTCAAAAATTTGAGTTTTAGCCCCTCTCGGTCGTATTACCCTCCCCGTTTGAATCTTATTTATGTATTGCCGGCGCGATGTTTTACTTTTTTACAGACGAGTCCCGGTGAGGTACGGCGTCGCGGAAACGAGAGTAGGTACCGTGTAGGTATCGCTATATATAGGCTGTATAAATACATGCGTCGAGTCGTTTTTTTCTAAAGTCCGAGTCTTGGCCCGTTTTAGTGGTATTACCCTCCCCGTTGACGACTTATTCGCCTTCCCCGCTACACATCGAGTCCCGGGGCGGAGCGGGTTCTCTGAAACGAGACGGCCAAAATTGCCGCCATCGAGTAGGCATTACTATAATGTACAGGCATGAATTCATGCGTCGGAAGGTTCGATTATTTTTCGTGAAGATCGCGTTTTTGCTGTCCGACGCGGTAGGATCGCCGGCTACGAGGCCCTTTGATGGACGTCAAAACATGAAATATATAATATATACCTACTATGTAGTAGGTACTGCTGCAAATTCTATACAATAATTAAATTGCATAATGATAGGACTATATATATATATATATATGAGTATTTGATATTATTTTAACATGGCCTGGATTATATTGGAATACATACGATTATATTTTATGCGTGTCGGACGGTTATATCAACGCAATGCTACAGTATGACCATTATTCATTGATACGGGTTGGTCGTCGGAGTGTTGACGACGTGCGGGGGACAACTTTTGCGACGCGAAACGCGCCCGTGTGTCTAACGTCATCTTGTGACGAACGCCCATGCAACACACAACCCAAGCGCACAGAAAAACATAATATAAAAGCTTATACAGTTATACCTATAATATATTAGATTTTCTTGGCGTATTGTGTTCTGCGTTGGGCGCTTTTCAAAACCGGTAAGTACAATTTTGAAATACATAATAATAATTAATCGTATAACGTTTGTATAGCCCGCGCGTACCTACTGGCTTATTCATGACATTGTACGTATTTCATTCGATGCGTTTCCGTATACGCGATATTGTTTATTACTATATACCCGCCATTTCCGCCTTTACGCGTTTCGTATTCGATATTAATACGACATTTGGATTTCCGCTTGCCGTGTTCATAATATCCGGACATAGACTTGAACGCCTACGTGCGCAAAAATCTTTAAGCCACGCTTTTTGCAGTTACGACTTACGAGACCATATTTATAAATAGTAATATAGTATGTTAATTTTGTTTAGTTCATACTCGAACTCGATACTGTATATGTACACGTAATAATATTTTATACCTACCGTGTAAGAATAATACAATTTACTGCATTTCTAAAAATAAACACACAACACCGGATTATTCACTGATAACATAGGTACTGATAAGACAATTCCATTACACGAACACGGAGTTTTACTTATAATATTATTATTATAATAATATATAAAATGTTTGGCCGTTACCTTTTCAAAATGTTATTCTATATCTTCTTAGGCAAATATAACGATGGTCAAGCATTGTGCGATTTGTGGCAACGTGGATGGCGTCGATGGCGTTTCAGTGCATGGGTAAGTGCATTTACATAATATATACGATTACTTTTGAGATTAAAATTCATAATAATTCATAATACAATAATTATTGTATTAGTTTTCCAGCGAATGTCTTTCAGAAGCGTCAGTGGGTGATGTTCGCCGAGAACAATGGTGTCAATCCTCTACGAATAACGAATAACTCCAAGCTTTGTTCGAGGCATTTCGTTCCTGGTCGTGATTACGCAGGCGCGGTATTTCGCCGTCGACTCATTGCTGGAGCAGTGCCATCAGTAGTGAGTAACAACCAAAATACAACATTTGACCGCTGTACTGAACAAATAGTGCAGGGCTGCACCTACTGCATACGATTCGCTCACTTGATCATTACATTACTATACGTTATAACTTGACAACTCATAAAGTGTGAATATACCCAGGTGGCAGGTATTTTACAATGGCTACAGTTTGGTACTATACCTACTAGAGTGCAAACCAAATCCAAAAGGTACCTACTTGCATTTAGTTATTGTTGTTGGTTAACATTCTGTATTAAATTATACTTTTTTTTGTTATTGCTTTTATTTTTTAAAAAATTACAAACAATATTGCTGTTTCATTATTATGGGTATTTACAACCAATAAACAAAATACTTAAACGTTTACTTACACAGTTCTTAATATTACTACTACTACTTTTTTTTTTTTATCTGAATCGTCCAACCTGGTGGGGGACTGCCTATATGCTTTGCTTTCCCGCCGGTCCGCCATCGTTTAATTAAATTACATAACAATATTAATTAAATAACAGCATCTACATAAATTACAATAAAAGTTTGCATATTACAGATAATAATAATATTTACAGTAGTTACACATGATTATGATACGAAATACTAATACTACTGCTTACTTAGTACCTAGGTCTACTCGCCTTTATTTTATCATTTCACATTCAAAATGACAACAAGTAGTGTCTTACCTACACTTTCTTCATATTACTACTAAACAACAGTGTTCAACACATTTTTTTAACTTTATTTATACAACTAGCTTTGTTTGTACTACAGTGTGACATATTATTTATCTACTACTGATGTGTGTTATTTGATATATAGTGGTGATATTGAAGACTCTTTAAAAAATAAGTGTATGATTTTATTAGTGTGACATAAACCTTACGATCAACTTTTATCGTGTAATAAATAAACCTAACCAACACAAGATCATATTCAATATGTATGAACACATAACTATTGAAAGTCCAACTCACCGTTTTTTTAACTTTTATGTGGTACTCTTAGACATGTTTATGAGATTTCAATACCTATATAATTTCATATAAATGCACTTACTGCATATGAGTATACTACACTTACTGTTATAGAGTTTTTTAATGTTTGTTATTGTTACGGTAATACCTAACCAACACAAGATTATATTAAATTATGTATGAACAACACACTCTTTTTTACTACTACTACTACTACTACCACCACTACTTACTACTGACCTAGGTCATTTGTAAGTTGTGTACTAGATAGGCATTTTATCATTTAACATGTGGTACTCTTAGAAATGTTTATATTCTTTCAAAAGTTAATACAATAGATTTGTTTACGTTTATTCCGTGTTAATATCAGGGCCGGCGCTACCAAAAATTTATAGGGGGGTGGAATTAAAAATTTGCCGACTCGAAGTATACAATTTGCCGACCCCCAAATGCAAAAAATGGCGTCTTTTTCAAAAACTTATAAAATAACAATAAATAAAAACAACTATAAATTATATCATTAAACATTATATTTTCAATATATTTTTTCATAATAACATTTACAATTTTTGATTAGTTTCTTATACTTATACTTAAGTTTCCTATACTATTATACTTCTATTCTACGATGTTTCAAATGGGACCACTTCTTCACGAGCACCATGGTATCAATTGTATCTAAAATATCCTTATTAGTATTAAGTAACATTAAATTTTGAAGACGGTCAGCATTCATGGTAGATCGTAAAAAGTTTTTTATTAGTTTTAGTTTACTGAACGCTCGTTCATTGGAGGCTGTACTTACAGGGGCTGTAAACATTAATCTTAATATCTTGTTCATATTAGGCAAAATATTTTTATACATTTCTGATACATTTAAGATATCCAAAACGTTTTTAGCGTCCTTGCAACGGTGAGCCAGCACAAGATATTCAGAATAAACTGCATCAAAATCCTTAATATTGGATACAGAACATCCTGGAGGGAATAAATTTATTATCTTTTCAAAGTCTTCTGCTGAATGTTTATTACTCAAAGGCACTTTTAAAAGATTAAATAATGGTTCAACAGTAGCAATGCATTTTTTTAAGTGTTCGGAAGTTAATGTTGTCAGAGTATCTAAAACTTTTTTAAATTCAGATCTGTAGAAAGTTTTTAAATCAAATATTGCCTGTGAACTTGGATTAGAATCTAATCTTTTTGGCAATAGTCTTCTCCTGTGTATTTTGTTGAAATCAGATTCAGGATTAATGTTTAATTGATGTGCATAATTAATAGAACTATCAATCAAATTATCCATGCCTATCGAATCATTGTTAATATCATTGAAAATGTCAGTAGAACTATTTAATAGCATTAGAGCATCAATTATGTTGAGATCTTTGGCTTCAAAACTTTCAGTTAAAATTTTCATTTTATACATCACGTTTTTCATAAAATATAGTGATACTACAAAGTCAAATGTGAGTATTTTTTTGGTGATTCCTAAAGCTTGAGATCTTGTGTTTTTGTCAAAGTACTGGGCTGTAGACATTTCTTCTAGTGTTTTTACAATTGAGTCAAATGAAACCCATACAGCTTTTATTGACTCTGCTCGGGCTGTCCACCTTTTTTTCGATAAATTACGTAACTGTAAAGAATTTTCAATTTCAGACAGACTTTTTTGCAAATGAGCATATCTTTTTGTACTTGAAGAAAAGAAAACATACATATGTTCGAGTACCAAAAATAAATCTCCAACTATAACACTTGCATTGCAGCTGTGTTCAAGAAAAGTATTCATTCTGTGGGCTTGACAGGGTATAAACAAAACAGTGTGACCTAGTAGTTCTGACAATTTTTGTTGTGTGCCATTTATTTTGCCAGACATACTGCTGGCAAAGTCATATGATTGAAAAACAACATTTTTTGGGGGCAATTCATTGTTAATTATGACACTTTCAATTGTTTCTGCGATACCTAATCCAGTTTTGTCTGATGCTTCAATTATTTCCAGGAGCCTTTCTGATATTTCCCCAGCCGCATTCACATACCTAACACAGACTGATAGCTGATCTCGATGTGAAATATCAGGTGTGGTGTCTGCCATCACCGAATATATATCTGCTTCTTTTACTTCTTGAATAATTTTTTTTTTTTACTTCATTACTTAATAAGTCGATAAACTCATTTTGTGAATCATGACTCATATAAGTGACATTATGTTTTCTAAATGCTTTATCATCAAGCCACTTTTTTAATACAGCATTATGTTTAGATAATAAAAGCACAATTTGATTAAAATTACCATTTTCTTCACTTCCATCACCCCTAAATGCAAGACCTTGTCTTGAAAGCATACGAGTAATATCAAATAGTATGTTTAGCACTTCTTGATTAAATTTGTTTTGGTGCTCATCATTAATTGCTTGTTCTCTATTTTTCTTATTAAGAATGCATTCAATATGGCCGGAAAAATTTAAGAAATTGCTGAAATCTATTAATGCTGATTTATGAGCATTTGATGTGAAATGCTGATGAAGTTTCCCAGGTTTTTTAATTCCTCTTCCTTTCATCTTATGCCAAGAACGGACACCTATTTCACTCCAAGCAGAATCAGAATAATTTCTATTAGGCCCATTTGGAAATAAAGTGCAAATAAAACAAAAAGCAGCATCTTTAATTAAGCTATATTCTAAATGAGGGTATTCATTATACCACAAGAACTAAATTGGCATTGCTTTCCGGGTGTTATATCTAAGTTTTTTGGAAATTTTGCAAGTTTGGGTTGATGTGGCCCCAAACTTAAAAGATATTTCCTTTGAGAAGATGTTTTTACGACTGATCGTTTACCAGGATCATGCTCAAGAAAATAGTCAACATTTTCTTTTGGTGCAACTTGTGAAAGCGATACTAAGGAGTTTAAGACTAAATTGCTTATGGATAAGTATTTTTCAGATTCTGCTTTAATTGAAGATATTATATGAGAAGTAGAAACTAAAAAAGAAATTGGATTTGGAGCATTTTCAGTTTTTAGTTTTTTTAAAAGCATACTACAGTCCTGAAAGCTATTTATAAGCGATTCAATCATTCCAGCGCAAGCAACCCAATCATAAGCACAACTGCTACTTTCTGAAATAATTAATAGGTATTTTTAATATAACCTATCTTAAATTATTATTTTTTGATAAATTAGATAATATCAATGAAGGTAGTAAACTAGTAAAACGCATACAAAAATAATTTTTACCTGTGCAACTGCTATTATCCAAGATAATATTTGAATTTTCTAAATGTTCATTAATTATTTTAAAACTATTTTCTACATTTTCAACCATGTCTGTAGTGTTTATCTCCAACTCAACTGGTTTTGTTTTAACCTAATTTGTATTAGGTATATATTAGGTGTATATATTCAACTACTAACTACTATAGTATAATAAACTGATGCATGTAAGATGTAAAATTAAGTAATACAATATATTGTAAAACACCACACCACCACCCATAAAACTTACATCAGATTCTATATTAATTGATTCAGGTTTTATTGGAGATAATGAACTTTTATTAAGTATTTTTTCATCAGTAGAACTGTGACCATTTTTCTAAATTTAAAAAACAAAAATATATTGTGTGGATATTTTTAATTTTATTAATTAAATGTATATATTATTATTATATACCTTTTCAATATCTTCTTCCAATATTGTTGTTGAAATAGAGGGAAAATCAATGATTTCAGAATTAGTAGGTTGAGAATCATTCTTGTTATTTTCCTGTAATTTAATAAAACCATAATAGGTAATAATCTATGAGTATGATGACTATTGGTAGAAATTTGTTTTTAATAAAAACAATAAATATAATGTGTACTACCTCCATATTATGCATTGATGTTGAATCCAAAGTACATTTTTTTTTTTGATGATGCAAGAATAAAAGGGTTATCTGGAGCTCCTAAATGTTTCACCCTAACTTTTTCCCCTCCATGTTGAGTCAATTCATGTTTTTTTTTATAATCATCGTCAAAAGTACTACCACATTTTAAACATACTAATTTAGTCCTCTTTCTTTTTTTGTTTGTGTTCATGTTCATATTTGGCTTTATTCTTTTAAATTCACAACAAGTCACAACAGTAGTACAGAACTTATAAACAATAACAAATTACAAAAAGTTATAAAACAATTTTGAATTAACGAAATCGGAAATAATACGAATAATACGATAGTAATATAATCATTAATCAATGTAAATAATATTTCATTAAATTAGTTGATTTGTTATTGTTTTATTGTTATCATCATTTGTTATCATTATTTGTTACGTGATATTGGTAATCCATACACAAGCAGCTGTCGTTCAGTCGACAGTCTACTGACAGTACGATTAAAGATATTTATAGATAATCGTGGTCGACAGTCCATAAGTCTTACAATATTATCTATGCAACACTGGAACAGTCACGTTGGTCATGGTCACACAAATCACCCGACTACCCGAGTGCCCGACGCGCGTATGCCGTTGCCGATGCCGAGTGCCGACCAAACTTGGCCAAAATTCAAAACATATAATAGTGTATTAGTGTAATAAAATTCTCTGTAGATAGTAGTTACGCCGAATACCCGGAATACCCCAATACTAATTTATATTTTTATGATTTTTCGTTTACATAATTATAGCACATGATAGTATGATATATTTAGTAATATTACGATAATCACATATTATCATTTATCATACCCATACGGTTATATGGTAATTAATATTAATGAAATAAAATAATTAGAAAAAAAAACTTGTTTGCCGACTTGGGAATAAAATCGTCAAATTGCCGACTCAGAAATCTAACTACCGAGTTTGGGGGGGTGTCACACCCCCCCATGCACCCCCCTTTCGCCGGCCCTGGTTAATATTCACTGTGATCTTAGATATACATATTATATAAATTGTTTCTGTACATAACTTAGGTTACTCTGCTATACCTACTCATACTTTACAATACTGTACTGGCTCGGGGCAACATTCTTGAAAACTAAATGTCTATTTTATCATAAGAATTCCATTCAGCTTATTATATTATAATTGTATGTGTAGAAAGCAAATTGTAGAATAACTTTAACGACATTCAATTGTGTTGCCACTGTTTCAGATTTCAGTTGCATAACAAACGCTGGGTCAAGCTCATACATTGACTAAAATTTGATACCTAGATTAACTTACAACTATACTTATATATCAACTTTGACCTAAACAGGATACTTCACGTTTTGCTATATAAATTAACATTTTCTTAATATTACTACTACACAAAGTAGGTAGGTTACTAGACTCTTTACTAAACTCTCCTTTTTTTGTGAATTGTGTAGGTACTGCATAAGTGTTTTATCGTTGTGTTCATCACTTTCTTTACTTTATTTGTAACACAGTGTAACATATTATTTACTACTTATGTGTGTTATTTGATACATAGAGTGGTGATAGATATAGGTGTACTTGATTTTATCACATTGGAGACCATGTATGATTTTATTAGTGTAACATAAACCTTACATTCAACTTATCATAATATAAATATTTCATATAAATGCACTTATTGCATATGAGTACATACACTTACTGTTGTGTATGAACACACAACCGTTAAAAGTTCAACTCATTGTATTTTAACTTTTATTATGGGTATTCACAACACACCCAATGAACAAAATACTTAAACATTTTCTTACATCTTACTACCATTACTACTACTCCTACTACCATTACTTACAACTGACCTAGGTCATTTGTAAGTTGTGTACTAGATATGTAGTACTCTTAGAAAGAAAACTTACTGTTATACATTGCAATACGTTTTTACAATGTTTCAAAGTTATTGTTGTTAGAAAGATTATAACTATGCATGAATGCGCAACCAATTATACATTCTTCTGTGAATTTCTTTGTTTTTTGGTTGGCTCTTGATTTTAAAGTTAAAATTCAGTTTATCTGTTTACTACAATGACAATTTTAGATTATACAATGTAAAAGATTGTACCTATTAAGGTTAGGTTAAGCTTTGAGTATTGATTTGACGTTCAATGCACAAAAAAATATTTGATATTTAATATTGTACCTACTATAAACTCAAGTTATAACTATCAAGTTATTGTGGTTGGATTTAATAGTTTATTCAACCAAACATATTAGGTGTTTTATCATAGTGTTCAATACATTCTTTACTTTATTTATAGTGGTGATAGATATAGGTGTACTTGATCTTATCTCATTGAAGACATAAACCTTACATTCAACTTATCCTATAAGGATTTCATATAAATGCACTTATTGCATATGAGTGTACACGGTATAACACATGAGCACATTACACCTAACCAATACAAGATTATATTAAATATGTATGAACACACAGCCATTAAAAATTCAACTCACCGTATTTTAACTTTTATTATGAGTGTTTACAAGCAATGAACAAAATACTTATACTATTTACTACTGACTTAAACTGTCTACTCTCCTTTAATTGTTATCATTTCATATGTGGTACTCTTAGACACGTTTATGATATTTAAATGCCTATATAATTTCATATAAATGCACTTAACCATGCTACATTACCCACAAACTATAGATTACCTATGTTTACATAGTAATCATATACACTATATACACTCTACTGTTAGTTTTTATTAGACGTTGTTACTAATACGTTAGTACAGCAGTTCTCTTTGAGTATGGATTTTGACGTTCAATGCACAAACATAATATTGTAAATTTAATTACCTACTTACAATTATAAATACCTTAATATTGTACCTACTCTAAACTGGACCTAACTTTTAGGTACTTGGTGATGACGCGGATGTAGAGGAGGACGTGGAAGGAGTGGTGGTCCAGATGGTGGTAGTAGAAGGAGTGGAGGTCCAGATGGATGACGTGGATGGAGAGGAGGCCCGGATGGAGGACATGGAAGTGGTCGACCGTCAGGTGGTGGGAAATGGTGAAGTGGAAGTGGTGGAAGTGGCAGAAGTCCAGATGGATGGGATTGAGGACGTGGCAGAGGAGGTGGCAATGGTCGACGTCGGAGTGGAGGAAGTGGAAGTGGTATATGAGGTGGAAATGGTCGAGGAAGTGGAAGTGGCCGACGACGGGGTGGAGGACGACTACCCGGTAGAAGATATCGAGTATGTGGTAGTGGTCGAACTACCCATAGGTCGTGCGCCAATGATAAACCGGCATGCGGGCGTAACACACCCGCTTCCAGAGCGGCACTACGTGGGAGCACTGGACAGAGTCTGCAGACATTGTTACGCCCGCCACTTCAGTGGCGAGCAAACCACCCGGGGTCACTTCTCCACGTGTTGTAACAACGGCCAAGTGGTCGCTGCAGGACAACACGCGTTGTTACCAGTACCATATTTATTACAGAGTTTGTTTATAGATGATTCGCAGGATGGTCGAAGATTCCGAGCTGAAGTTCGCCGGTTCAACAACCTACTGGTAATTCGCTGCGTTTGCCTCCGACGCACACGACAGGCGTTTGCCAGGGCGGGGACCGCCTGTGTTTATTGTCCACGGTCAGACATATCGGACGACTAATCATGAGGTGGCCGTTGCCCCGGAAAATGCGTACAACTGTCAGTTGTATTTCTTGGAGTCCGTAGAAGCCAACCACCGGCGCCTCGATATTGCACGACGGGCAAATCGTGAACTGTGCGAAATCGTGATGGGTTTATTGGAGGGTTTGCTGCGGGGCATCAATCCGTACGCAATGGCTTTTATGTAAGAAAACTCAAACTATTGTATTTATGAACACTAGGAATGTGAATTTAGCCTTACAGTAAATACATTTTACACATACCTTTCTTACAGTAGATAAAAAAAAAAAAAACATTTACCAATATAATAGACTTAATAATGATTTAAAATAATGTATACATAGCAAATAGTTTTCTTAACTCCTCCTTATTAGTTATTTGAAATACCTAAGGTACTAATGATATAACATTAAATATGACATAGGGCTTGGATGTTTATGACTTAACATATTTATATGAATTTGAAGTAAAACTATCTTGGGGTACATTTAATAATACATTTTATACACATTGAATGTGATTCTCTACGCTTATTACACCTACACACAGGCACACAAATATTTCTTCCGTGCGCGGCCAAAAGGGGTTAAGTCAAAAGGGCTGACAGATATATGTATTAAAATTATATAATAAACATTGTAATTGATAAATCAAACTGATAAAAATTAAAGTAATATTTTACAATAAAATTAAACGCCAAATTGGATATGATAAATGATAAGTGTTATAACTTAAAGAGGAAAAAATATTGACTTAATCCGATTTTACCAAAAAATAATTCATATTTATTAGAGATAAAACACATACCAATCTCAAAATGTGTATTTTTGTGTTAAGCCCTTTTGACCGCGCATGGAAGATTTATAATATATAATATTTAGTATAGATTATACTCTCACCGCTACTGATATAGAGTTAAATGGATTGAATGATCGGATGTTTTAATTACACATAATATACGATTATTTCTAACAATATCACTGATACACTAATACACCAATTACTATTGATTAATACATTTTAGGTAATATGATTTATTCTCAGCTCTTTGCGATCAAAATTCACAATTATTTGTACACATCATGCGGAGTGTGTTTAACATAATTATATAAATATATTTGTTTCAGGAACATGCGTCAGGTGTGGCTGGCAGAAAGAGCCCTGGCCGATTCCGCAGCCGCGCCACCTAGACCAGTCAGGATGAATTTCGTTGAAGATGCGGCCCGGGATAGGGGCCGAAACAACCTGCCTACCGCAAATGAAGTTGCAGCCGTGTTCGTAGGTGAAGGTGGTCATCCTCCCAGACACATCGATCTGGTCATCTTCGACACCAATCCAATCGACATGCAATACAGGACGCAAAGGATACCTGCGGGTTAGTACACCTCACAGACACACACATAATTATAGTATTATAACAGATGTCTAACTGCTACCAACAAAGAGTTAAATTACACCCCACCTTTACTACATTTTGGACATTCTTTTGAAATTGAATTA